GTTCTCCAAGTGTGGCCCTTTGGTCACTAGTGTCAGCGGCACTTGGGAATTTGTTAAAAAAAAGTGGTTTCTCAGACCCACCTCTGACCTCTTGCTCCGGAAGCCCTGCAAGGGGGACGCAGAGGTCTGGCATTGAACGGGCCCTCGAGGGAACTCCATCACAAGCTGAGGTTTGAGAACTGCTGAAGCAGGCCTAGAAGAAGATGCTAACATTTGGTATTATTATCTGTATGCTGATTTTAAAGTATTTTGTACAAACACCTGACTCTGTTTTATTAAATTACATGGAATCGGAAGGGAACAGTTTTTAGCAATGAACTTGGTTTTGCTTTTGTGGCTGCTAGTCATCGAGAAGGGGGTGATGTTGCACCGTGTTTGGTGGTGTCTTTGGGGTGGATCGGCAGAGGGAGGGTCATTGGCTGGCATGGGCGGCATCTTCCGCCAGTGCTGTCAGTCTGGGTTGGTGGGCGTTGTGCCCAGGGAGAGCGTCAGGGGGTCCAGCTCGGGTGTCCGGCTTCACCTTGGCCCTCTGTGGCCCTCAGTGAGGGAAGGAGTTTTTCCCTAAATACTTCCCTTCCAGTCATACTGGATACAAGACTACAATAACTCATATGTTTGCAAACTATTCTGGCAAATGTAGCAAAATTGTGATTCTATGCATGCGATATGAGCGAGATGGCAGTGTAGGAGACCCCAGCCTCCACCCCCACGCAGAGCAGCAGTTAAAAGGATACCCGTGAATGAAAGTGGCCTGGGAGGGCGCTGGAGCCCACCCTTGGAACTTGGGTGGCGTGGCGGAGCCAGAGAAGGAAGACCAGCTTCACTTGGCCCCATCCTAACTCCCAAGCCCGCATCCCTCAGTGCCACGAGGAACGCCCCCACCAGAAGGAGTTCCCCCTTCAGGGGAAGAGTGTTGGGATGAGTGACTAGGATCCCCAGCCCTCTGGGGCACCACACACAAAGGTTCCGCTTTGGCGTCACCCCGCCCAGAGCCCGGCAGGTGACAGGGCAGTGCCAGCCAAGAGTGTGCTGCTGACATTGTCATTACCGCTGCTTGCCCTGGCCTTACGCTGTTGCACCCAAGGGTGCTACTGAAGACCCTCTCAGCCCTTGTAGCCTCAGGGGATCCCCTGCAGCTCTTGCAAAGGACCACACAGTTGTAGATGCTGTGGACCCCAATGACATGAGCTCAGTGACGTGAGCTGATAAGCCACCACACTGCCCGGACCTGGTGCCACCCACGCCCCAGCACTCGGTGCCCTGCACTCTCTCGTAATGCCCCACCTGCAGGGGAAAGTCCTCCCTTACAGAGGTCAGCCTGTAAAATCTGGAAGAAACAACTGCTTGTGCAAATGTGCAGACGCCTGGTCAAGGCCACCTGGCTCATGAAGACTCAGGGACACATGACTCTATGAACAGAGTGCAGGTGACCTCCAGGGACTGGTCCCAAAGGCAGGGAGATCCAGGAAATGCCTGGGAGGAAAGAAGTTCAAGGTAGTCGTTCTAATGATGCTTAGAGCACTACAAGAGAGCATGGATGAGCAATTTAAATATATTTAGGGAAACAATATAAGAACAAAATGAGAAGAGCAACAAAGAGACAGAAAACGAAAGTGAACCAGGTGGAAGTGTTGGAGCTTCAGGGCGCAGTGACTGAGCTGAAGAGCTCAGCAGAGAGCTTCAGCGGCAGACCACGCAGAAGAGAGAGCCTGTGAGCCTGGAGACGGAGCACTTGAAAACAATGGGAAAAAGCGTGACGAGAGATGATGAAAGCCTGTAGGTCTTATGAAACACCATTCAGACAAACATCCTACATAACGTTGGGGTCACAGAAGGAGAGGGGAGGGAGAAAGGGGTTGCAGTCTTGTTTAAAGCAATAATTTCTAGGAGCTTTCTAAACCTGGGAGGAGATTTGGGCATCCAGTTCACAAAGTTAATAGTGAACTCGAAAATTTCAATCCAAAACGACCTTCTTTAAGACCCATTATAATAAAACCATCTAAAATTAAAGACAGAGCCCTGGCTGGTGTGGCTCAGTGGATTGAGCGCCGACCTGGGAACCAAAGGGTCGCTGGTTTGATTCCCAGTCAGGGCATATGCCTGGGTTGTGGGCCAGGTCCCCAGTAGGGGGCGCTTGAGAGGCAACCAACCACACATTAATGTTTCTCTTTTTCTTCCTCCCTTCCCCCTCTCTAAAAATAAATTTTTAAAAAATCTTTTAAAAATTAAATTAAAGACAAAGAATTTTAAAGATTCTCTGAAGAAAGAAAAAAAAATCTGTCCTGCAGAGACTGCCAGCAGATTTCCCAGGAGAGACCTTGCAGGCCAGGAGAGAGAGAGATTATATGTGTGAAGTCCTGAGAGAGAGAGAGAGACCTCTGACCAAGAATACTTGACCCAGTAAAACCATCCTTCAGAAACACTGGTGACGTGAGGACTTCACCAGGCCAGTGAGGGCTGAGGTAGCCATTGCCACTGGACTCCCCCGCAGGAAGCGTCGAGATGATATTTTCAGGCTGAAACGAAGGCTACTAACTGCGAAGACACGTGAAAAGAAATGAAGGGTCCTCACTGTGAAACAGCGCACCCGTAAAGTCAAGTCTATGGTCAAGACATGGAAACAGTGTAAATGTCCTTCAGTGGATACATAGATAAAGACAATGCAATTATATATATATAACAGATTTATAAAATATTTCAGCCTTAAAAAGGGTATCTTGCCATTTGCAACAACATGGATAGACCTTGAGTACATTATTCTAAGTGAAATAAGTCAGACGGATAAGGACAAATAGTGTGTGGTCTCACCCATGGGGGATCAGAAACATGGACCTCACAGAGCCCCCTGGTGGCTGCCAGGGCTGCGGGGGGGGGGGCGGGGAAATGGAGAGAAGTCGGCCAGAGGGTGCCAGTTTTCAGTGACAAGACAAGTAAGCCCCAGGAGCCCAATGTACAGCGGTACCGTATGTATGCTCAAAAGTTGGGCCTTAATATTCTCCCTGTAAAAACAAACAGAAATAACACGTTAGTAATTATGTCAGCTAACATTAATGTGGTAAACATTCTACAGTATATACATTTATGAAATCAGCACATTGCACACTTTGAACTTACACAGTGTTGTACGTCAGTTGTATCTCAATAAAGCCGGAAGACTATAATTTTAACTGCAGTTATCTAATTTCTGGCTCTTCGTCTTTTCCCCATAATAGCCTGTGTAGAGAACATTTATGAGTACAGTGAGAACTTGGGCAAACATGAGAGTCCCTTCTTCCTGACCTTTCATGGAGAGGGGGAGGAAGGGTGGGGAGGCAGAGGGCGAGGAGGGAAGAGGTCCGTCTGCCTCCTTTTCAGTACCCACCTCTGATCACAGACAGACAGTACTGTTATTCGTAGACACGACCAGAGCCTGAGCTGCCTAATTTCAAAATTACGAATGCTCCATTCCTTTATCTTGCCTTATTTCTCAGTCCTGCAGTCTTCAGATATATACAGTAGATTTTTCTACTGAAAACATAATTTTGAAATGGCTTTAATGGGGGGAAAAAAAGCCACTTCCCTTTTCCCCAGCTTCAGATCAGCAAATCGTATCAGTGGCCACTTTTCTGTTTAAATTCTTTCCGTCACACACGACTGGCAGAAACCTCAAACCCTGGCTAACCCCACCAGTGTCTTCTTGCGCCCGGGCAGTGGGCCGATGATGGGGAAGTACCGCATTATGGCCATTAAATCCTAGGTTGGAGATCCACCTGCTTGAATAGTCAGCAGTGCCTGAAATAGTCACCTCCTACCTTCTTAAGCCTACAAGAACCCTTCTTAGCAGAGAGCCTTGCTCCCGCTACGCAGACAACAATTGGCAGTTATTTTTACACAAAACATTTGCCTTTGTACCACTAATTCTAAAACCTTGGATTCATACCTTCTCTCCTCTTTTCTTTGTGCTGTAACAATGGGAAACACTCTCCAGCTTCTGCTTTTTTAAAGGAGCAGTAAGGAATTGTGGGAATAACAGCCCAGAGGCGATTTTCCAGGGCCCAGGTACGCAGGGTGATGTCTTCGGTCCACTGAATCCTTCCCCTTGGAGCAGACTTCAAATCCTGTCGTATTGCTTGTGCTTGTTACTTGTATTGGCTTGGGCTTTCAAAGGCTCTTTCAGAAATTACATTACCCATTGTACACTATCCTTTTAAAGCGCATTTACAGTGCTCGGAGGTTATTTTTGACAGAATTAAAAAAAAGGTATTTGTGCAAAATATTTATTCATGCTCATTAACAGCACTTTATTTATTATACTAAAGTAGAGAGGTGTTGTCAAAAATAATGAAAATAAAAACCCCGTGGGAATATTTGTAAAACATTTACAAATATTAATGATTTTTATATATGTGTAACTAGTCATAATATATTACAAAATTTCTCTGAAATGCCCTGAAAATATCAATTATATTTTAAGTAAGCTTGTTGCCTTATATCTACCAACTTATGTTATTTAAAAAAAATGTTCTATAGAGTTGTAGCTGTGGGATTTCGAATCTGAACTTTGATATAAAGCAAACATTATTACCGTGTTAATATTTTAAATGGAAATTTAAGGTCGTATATTTGGTCCAGTCTTTGAGGACTAGAATATGTTTAATTACATATTTACCACATTTATGTTTTATTTTTCAAATTATAACCAATATGTTAATGCAGTTAAATTTGAAAATGTATATTTTATAATCTTAAAAATTTAAGTATACCAAGAAAACTGTTGCTCAATGAAATAATGATTTTTAATAATCTGACTTATTTTATTTCTTATTCCAAAGTTAAGTCTTAAAAGATAAGAGTATTTAATTTTGATCCTCATCCACTGTAAATGTTTAAAGAAAAACTGAAAAGTTATTTAAAAAGTAGGTTTGACAATTTTAAGGGCATTTTAGGGACTGTTTCTGTAAAAAGTTGTGGTTTTGGGGTTTTTTTGCCTCTGTTTAATGCCATGTATCAATTATTTGCAGATCCAGTGGTTCTGTGGAAATTCCCGGAGGACTTTGCAGACCAGGTGGGAATCACACACTTTTTCAAAAGCTTTGAAAGCTGCATTGTTATGGTTGCTGCTCCGTCGCTGCTGCTGCTGCTGCTGCTGCTACACTTCACTTGCTCTGAGTGTTCTTTCTCGATCAACTTGGAAAAGAAAAGCCACGTGTGAGAATATGTGTGGGAAGTCTTTCCAGTCTCCCGGTGCCTGGGTGATGAGGAAGCCCTTAGAACGCAGCTAATAGGAGCTGGACATTTGGCTTTACCGTCGCTTTGCCCTCTCTAAAACCTGTCACGGGAGTGCGTATTTGGGGGCATTTAAGGTTCTGCCCACCCCAGAGAGCACTGGCCGTGCCCTGCGTTGCTGAGGGTCTTCCCGTGGTTCTCGCCTTTAGAGGTGGTAGGAATGGCGGCAGACCAGCGGTCCGTTCTCTCCGGTACAGCGACAGCTGAGTCCTCTACCTCTGAAAACAGAATAACCCCCGTCTGTAGCTTTCTTTTCCTAAAAGAAAGTGAGAGACTCCGCAATGAATTTATTCCATTGCATTTTGAAGTGTAGTCCCAGTTCCTTCAGTGTTTGGTGTGGCCAAAGGGAGTGGTTATTTTGACACGACGTGTGTAAACATCATGTCAAAATAACTTTAAAATTTATATTATAGATTTAAAAATGTATATTAGATTTATCATTTTGAAGTGAATTATGTGATATGTGGTTAAAAATACAAATTCAATTTTAAATAGAAATGAGCACTTTTTATGGAAAATGGTGAGCAGGTTCCTTTTCATTGTCTGCAAAGAAATGGGTTAAAACGATCCTTGTCACTGTTTATAGAATGATAAAACTACAAACTTACCCATAGGTTAAATTCACAGGTATAATGTTCATACTTGGCATAATTCCCCCAAAATGAAAGCTGATAAAAGGCTTTGTTTCAAGCAGTTCATTCAAAAGCCGTCGTGCAAACGCATGCCTGAGCATGGTGGCGGAGTAGTTTTCTTCATGTGAAATAGGCCTATGAGACCAGGAAATTGCACCAAAAATGCAGGTACTCGGGCCCCTTGAGTCTCAGGTGGGTCTGGTGCGAGGCCTGACTGTTGTCTCACGTAAGAAGACGGTGTGCACTCGTAATCTTTAGTCTTTTAGAGGAAGAAGAGGTTTATAAATATCTCGAGTATATAAAAGAAACCCCCGTGGTGAAGACATGGTTTGGGCATAGGAAGCTTCATTGGTTTGTCCCCAGGTCATGCGCAGTCAGGTCAGAGCCCTGCTGACTCAGTTTACCATTTTTAAGTCCCGTTTTCCTCTTGGTCTTCTGAACCCTCTCTTGCCCACTGACCCGAGAGCAAACCGCCTGTCCAGAGCTGTGTGTGTGGGTGCGTGGACTCCAGCCCTGAGTGCCCCTCGGGGCCCGAATCCCCCTCGCCTTGGTTCACGTAAGGGGGGCAGTGTCCTTGCTGAGCCGCCCCACAGAGGTTTCTCAGGGACGCCACTCTGCTGGTCCTCTCTGTGACCGATAAACTGGCGGTAGGAATTTTTTAGTTGGGGCTGAATCGTTGCTTTGTTTTTCATATTTGTGAGCTCAGTGGCATGTTAATAAGCCCTCAATACTCAGTAAAAGACTGAAGCCATTAACCGCGTAGTGGTGAGGAGCCCTCGTCACACCCCCCCCATTCCAGTGCGGAGCTGTCCTTCCTGACCTTTTGAAGGTTAGCGCTGAAAGAAGCTTTAGATTCCACTGCATCTAATGCCTTGACTTGATGTCCGAAGAAACCAAACTTTATGTGGGAATCTGGCCAAGGGCCCTGAAGAATGCTTCTGTTGCGTGCATCTCGGTGACTCTTGGGAGTGCCGCAGATGACAGCGTGCCCTCTGTGTGTTCCTCACTCTTACGTCATCCCGCTCACTTCCCAAGGCTAACTGTCTGCTTCCCCCAGCCAGCCTCCCCACGGGACTGAGCCTGGCCTGGTGGCCATAATTCCTACAGGCGTGTTTCTTCTGCTCTTCCTGTGGGCGGAGCACCGTGCGCACCATTGGCGTCATCTTCAGCCTCCCCAGCACGGACAGTGGGTCCCCGAAACTGCCCAAGAGCCTTGCCCGGGGAGGCAGGTTTGTCCGTCTCAGAGGCGGGAGCCACTAAGGGCTGAGCCGTGTGTCGTTTCTGCCTCCAGTGTCCGTCTGCATCCTCCTCACTCACTTTGCACGCTTCAGACATTTATTTTGATGGGTTTTTTCTCAGTCTTTATCATTTGAAAGCTGTGTGTTACTTAATCCACAGACAGGACATCAGTGCCCTCTGGTTTTGTCTCTGTGTGAGTTTCTCCCCACAGCTCAGCCACGATGGTCTAGAAGGCCACAGAGGGGTGTCTCGGAGAGACCGCTGCTCCTGCTGCAGTCACCGCCGTCCTTGGTTCCTCCCCACTCACTGGCAGCTCTGCACAGGCCCGCAGTAGCCCCTCTAACCCGCCCAGGAGCCCGTGAGTCCAGGGACCCCCCGAATCTCCACTGCACAGAACTGCAGAGTGCCGGCTTTGCGTGGCCAAAGTCACACAGCTGGGAGGGAGCAGAGCCTCGGCCCGAGCCAGAGGCCGTGACTCCGGAGCCCAGGGTCCAAAGAAAGACCTACTGAGACTCAGGACTCCCTGCTGACGCCGTCAGCGTGAAGCTCAACCTTCTCCGCAGGATCGGGTCCCTTGTTTCAAGCCCTTTGTTTACACCTTTAGCCTCCATTTCTCCGTTGGCCTTTTTTCTCTATTAAAATGTGGCCCGGTTCCATAGCGCACATTCGGTCCCATTATACACCATTCATTTACATTCCGTCTTTGAACGTACAGCCTCTCCGTCTGAAATGCTAATCTCCTGTGCGCCCTCGCCTCCGCCTGCCTTTCTGTCTTGGCCTAAAGGTCATTTCCTCCAAGAAGCCTTTTTTATGTCCCAGGTCTGGGCTGAATGGACCCCTGGGAGGCCCCCCTCCCCCCCGCATTTTATGTTTCCCACATTAAGGCCTTTGTCAGATCTGCTGTCCGTTTACTTTCTGTTTACCTCGCTGGACTCACAGTCTCCGGGACTGGTGTTAAGGAATCATTGGAAAAGAGGATACAATTTTGACTCTCACACAAATACATACAAGATTTTATTTTTGTTGAAGTTTCCTTTCAACTCATTAATTGATGAGGATACCAGTAAAGTACGACACCCTGTCCGAAGGAGAGTTCAAAGCCCCACAGTGCTGTAGACACATCAGAAGGCCGTGATACGTGTACCGCTGCGGTGCACTGCAGGTGGGGGGTGCAGAGGAGGGGAACCCGTCGCCCCTCCCTCGGACATGTCTGGGACAGGTACCCTCGCTTTGCCACTGTTGATCTGCAGCTCGGAGTCACGCAGCGGTTTCCAGGTGCTGAAAGGCACAGGGCCCTTAGAAGGCTGTGTCGGACACTGGGGACAATCGGTTCTCGTTGGGTCCATCTCTGTCTTTCCCATCTTCCTTATCATCTTCTTCCTGCTCTTGCAGCCATAATAGTATCAGAGAAAGATTCTAGGTGACAGAAATGAGACACGTCCCATTAGCTTTGGCCTGCGTATTCACATAGGTGGGGCAGGAGGGTTCATTTATCCCCAAACTCTTCTATCTCTAGAGCCATGCCCCAGACAGCAGTTATCATGTCTACAAAATAACGCCTCTCTGGACATTTCCATAAGGAGTTTCAGGTTGGACTTTTAAAAAGCCCCCGTTGTTTGTTACTCTAAAGCCAGGAAACCAAGCCCGAGACACTGCCTTTTTCCAGGCTTTGCCAGTGCTGCGTCTGACTTTGAAATTCTCCCCTTCCCTCCCAAGTTCGGCTGGGGTCCGCCGTGGATGAGGCGAGGCTGGAGTCCGTGGGCCGGGCCTCAGGCAGGGCTCCTGGGGGTCCTCCTGGTTTCCTTAAGAAGAGCTCGTATTCGTGCCTTCACATGCCTTGACGAGGCTCGGGAGACGAGAACCGTCCCCAGATGTGACACCTGGGGTGAGGCCTTGTTGGGTCATCCGTGTTTCCAGTCACACCTTGGTAAAGGGGAAGACATTTTTTTTTTAATTGGACAGATGCAAATATGTTTTCCTTTAATGATTTTTAAGGGATGTGGTCAGAATGAATCAGTCTTTCGTGATTTGAAATTGAGGTCGATTGACAGCTGGACATTTAGAATTTTTCTCGTGTCATAAGGAAGATCTAAATTATTTGAAAATAATTTATTAAACCTCAGTAATTTCAAAATATTTAAACAAGTTATGGATATGTGTTTTTAAAAAGTGGGTTTTTTTTTTTGCTTGTTTGGACTTGATTCTGTCATTTTTAACTACCAGTTGATCCGATCACACACAGAAAAAAATAACTTCATTGTATCCTATTCCAACTGTTGTTTTTCCAAATGAAAGAATTCAATTTCTTGAACCAATTTGTGAGCTGTGGTGGTTAATTTTTTCTTCCACTACCCCATGAGAATATATATTATATAAAAACACATTTCTAAGACAAGTTGATTTTTAATTTTTAGCAAAATAAAATTTTGAGAAATGATAAGAGTGATAATCGTATCATGACTGCATACTTTGTTTCATATTCAAATATTTTATCAGTGACCTGTCTTAATAACTCTAAAATGCCGGTTATTTCTTATCAGTTTGTTTTAGACACTCGGCCTGGTGTCTTTGTTGTACATTCTTGTGTCTTCACATGAAGAATCAGAATAAAACATTATCATTGTGAGCATGTGGAAAGTGCTTAAGAGTAAACAACAATTCTCATCATGATTATACTTTTCTCTCCATTGTTATGTAGATAAGATCTGTTTCTTTTGTAGATGCGGTATTAGGAAGCTTAAGGCAAAATGGGGTTATATTCCTACTTCATCTGCCTGCTGTCGTATATTTACTACTTTAAAATTGAAAAATTTTATTGCAAACAGGGATATTTGAGAAAACAGTGATATTTTAGAAATTTTGCCGTTTTAGAAATTTTATTGGAAGACAGACCCACACAGTCTGGCAG